AAAACTATAGAACTAAAATAATATTAGATGCTATTTTAGGTTGTCTTCTTACCTGGTGTTTTGTTTTTGGCTTGGGGATTGTTTCTGCTGGCCCCTATGCGTTAATATTTGATAAAAGCTAATTCTCAGTTGGGGAACTTTGTAGTTAGACTTGCTGCTTCAGCAACAGCATTGCTTCACAAACTACAAAAGGGCATACCACCTTGGGTTCCTTTGAAGGGATTTGAAAAGAAGACGTATAAGCAACTTCAAGAAGAAGCTATACAAAGCAAGAGACGTGATTTAGCAGTATTGGATGCTAATGATGGTCTTTGGCCAGGAGTTAAAATTCCAAGCTATGCTCTATTTCTTTGGGCTAGTGGCTCTGAACTGACCACTATTTTGGAACAGGATCACATGCCCAACAAATACATTCCCAGACATGTTAGGTATGCACATGCTGAGACTGTTACCAGAATAGCACTGAATTGTGATTGCTACAAGATTCATCAATTTGTTATGGTTTCTAACTCTTGCCCTTCCTCTCCCCTCCTCTTATTTTCTTTGGGTTGGGTTGGATTGCTGTGTGAGGCAGAAAGAAGTTGGCTGAACTCATTCCAGGGTTAAGGCCATGGGAAGTTCTGAGCTTAGAACAAGCAATGGATCGAATAACATTTAATGGGGAATGGTACCGTGAGCCTCTTGGTTCCTACACCACTGGTCCCCCCTACCTCCAGCACTGGAATGAAGATGTTATGGTATGCCTTTTCGTCAAACATTTTGAATTCATTATTCTATAATTTGATATTTTTAAAAATAAAGGAATTAAATGATATTTTACTAGCATAATGTGTTAAAATTTATGTTTATTTTATAAACATTACAACTTCAATTTAAAAAGAAGTAGCTCCAAAACAATGCTAACTTGAAACATGAATTTAATTTTCTTTGATTGTTTACAGGAGTTGTATAAGATATTTGAAGATCTTAATTCTGAGCTGTGCGAACACATGGAGAGATCAGTTGCTGGTTTTGATAAAATTATGGAGAAGGTCAGGGACGATTTTTTTGCGAGAACTAACAAACTGTTAGAGCAGAAAGACAAAGAGAAAAGAGAAGAACGCAAGAAAGCTGGGTTGCCCGAGTATTTGTGGCCTGAAAAACCATTTAAACCTTCATGATTTCTGCAGATCATATGGTAAGACTCCTTTGTGACTGATTCTTTAAATTATAGTTAGTTATTTATTTTGAACCTCCAATGTACCATAGCTATACAAAAAAAATTATTTACCCACTTGACTAAAATGATGAAACCGAATTTTCTTTTATTTTTTTGGGCTGGGAAAAGGGGTGTCGGATTAATTTTCCACCAGTTATTTGACTTTTGATTGACATAATTGAATATATATATATATATATATATATGTATATAAACATGCTTTATTTTCTACTATTGGTTAAATTTAGGACAACATTTAGATGCATTACTACAGGAACTTCTGTATTATTAAAGGTTCCATTAAAAATCAGTATTCTATGTAATAAAAGATTTCATTTAATGTCAATGATATGCAAAATAATTCCATTTGATGTCAATAATATGCGTGATAAAGGATTTAGTTAAATGTCAATAATATGCATAATCGAGAAATTCATGAACAAAATTTGCGTGTATCTAAATTTTGTCTATTTTTCTTAATTATAAATATCATGAATAGAGTTTATTAAACAAGGATTGAAATCTATAATTTTTGTTATTTTTAATAGGTATCAGCATATCGTATAGAGTGCTAAAATGTTGTGTTAGCAATTATTAACACGCTAATTGGTTATTAACACGAGGGCTTGCATTACTTGCGTTGCCCTTGGGAAGTTATCTGGTTGTTTATTTATATGCATTTGGTTCTTTATTTGTTGCACATTGTGGTCCACTAATAAAAAGTTGACATTGTGATTAGGAAGCATTTTTTTTTAAAAAAATTTTCATGCTCTTAGGAAAGTTGAAAGGTTGTTTCTGGCGATTACATTTCTAACAGGTTCTCAAATATTTTTCTGGGGGTAATATCTGGTTGATTCATTAAGCTACTATTGCAAGAGGATTTTTTTTCATTACAGGGTAAGATTTTTAGATAGTGAAAAGTGTGCTGAGAATGGTATCGTGAACTAAGAAGGCAATCTGGGACCTCAAGATTGTCTTTTTTTGGAGTTGGTTAGAACATCACTGTTGTTAAATATTGGCCTGTAGTGAATAATGAATGCAAATATTCCTTAGCTTCTTGTGTTCTTTCTTTCGGAGGCGCGTGACCTCTAATCAGGATTCTTTCACAACCCTAAACTTTAGCAGTTTGATTAATTTGCATAAAAAAACATGAAAATCTTGCAATGATCCAACTTAGCATTGCACATACTGGCTATATACACGATTACCTTTCAACTTTGCTGAAACAAACTTACACCAAAATTCTGTCTGGATCTGTGTTGAAGATACGTGTTTTGTAGTAAAGCAACTTCAAGATTTTCAAAATGACGCAGAAACAATTATTTTTGCTTCAAATGTTCATGTACGTTAATTACCGGAAATGCAGGTTTGTTTGTAACCACATGAATGAAGCTTATGGCACTGTGAAGTAAATGTCCTGGCATTACATTCTTCTGTTAGAATGAGAATGTTTTGGAATGGGGAAGAAGCGCTTGAGGAATTTTGTCCTTCTAGAGGTATTAGACAAGTAAATCATATTAGTTTTCTCTTATCTATCTTGTTTTTGTGTATGGAATGTTTGTCTCACCTTATTAATCTCATTGTGCATCATCAAAATTGGGTCTTTTAAGCTTGTCAGTGAGACCAAAATGTCAATTAGATTACTCATGCCTCATGTTATGTTTGGACGAAGTAACTTAGATAATTCATTTATTTGAAGAATTTAAAATTTTTTACACTAAAATGACTTTTTTGGACAAAGTAATTAGAAATTCAAATTTAATGAATTTTGAAATGTATTTCAAATTAATAAAGTAGAAGGATTTCAAATATCCTCAAAACTATAGAAATTTTTAAATTTCACTTTTCACTTCACTCAAGAAGGTCGAGTTGAGTCAACTTGAAGGCTTAGTTAAATCCATTTGAATTGAACGCTTAGTCAAGTCAAATCCATTTGAATTGAATGCTTAGTCAAGTCAAACCAGATCGAAAGTTGAGTCAAGTTGTCTTGGGTTGTAGGTTCAATTGAGTTGGCTCGATGAGCTAAGTTGGTTTGGTAGGTTCAATTGTCTTGGGTTGTAGCTTTGACTAAATTAGATTAATTTATTTTATCCAAATAAAAAAATTAAAATTCAAAATATTTCAATTATTCTATTCAAACAAACTATTTAAAAAATAAACAAAATTTAAATATAAGTAATTTAAATATTATGTATTTCAATTTCTTATAATTGTTAAAATTCTTTACTTAAACATAATGTTTGTCACCAAGAGTTTCCAAGCAAAGTTTTGGAGAAAGTTAATCAAGATGGTTTAATTGGAAAGCTTCTTCTTTGTCTCTGTGAACTTAATTTTAAAGTACTAATAACAACAAACAAAATCTTATAACAGGAAGAAAAATTAAATCTATACATTTCAATATTTATATGCATAAAAACGGATCTTTTGTTCAAATAGAAAGTATGTAAAAAAAAAAAAAACTAATAACTTAAAAATCAACTACGTATGCCATTTCAAAATATATGACAATTTTAAAATCAAAATAGATAGTTTTTTGGTTTTGAAAACATGTATATTTTTTCTTTATTTTCTTTAAATTTAGAGAATTTAACGCAGAAGAAATAAAGAGACAACAAAGGATAATATATACAGAGAGGGAATTTGCTATAAGTTAATTTTTAGTTGGTACATTTTACAACTTTTGGTAAACAAAAATATCTTCATTCATATAATATGCATTCTAATTTTAAAATTAAGGAAATTTAAATAAATTTTATTTTAAAAAAATCTTTTAATAATTAAAAGAAACACTAAACTACTAACGCATTCGAGTCTCGGATGTCTCCTACTTTGTGAAAGTATTACAGAGAATAATTGCACATTTTAAGGTTAAGGGTATTTTAATAATTTTCATTCTCAAAACTTAAAAAAAAAAAAAAGAAACCCCCCAAACCCTTACTCACCTCTCTCATTCCTCTCAATCATTTCTCTTTCATCTCTCTCACTCCAACCTTTTCTCTGTCATCCCTACTGTAGCCCCAATTGAAAAAAATCAGAAATATATAAGGGTATTTTTGTCTACTAAAACCCGGTACACATTGCTAAAATGGACCAACTGAAGGCGCACGCGCGTTAGCAAACCCCATATATATATATATATATAAACACAACTCATTTATTGAATTATTTTAAAAGTAATTATATTTAAATTAAAAAAATAGTTTATCTAACGAATGTAATAATATAAAGCAAATTAATATCTTATATCCCAATATAATCATATTAGAATGGGATATAATCATCCAACTAAAATTAAGTGGAATTAATTATAATTAGGTT